ATGAACTGTCCTTTTCTGAGATTACATTTGTAATTTTTGAAATGGCAGTACAGTCACAAATAACTGTCAAGTAGTAGCTGTCGCAGTTGCAATCGTTAATCTAATCTAGAAGCGTTTTGTGTTTTTTGTGCTTTCGTACTAAACGTTTCGTCTCGCATACATAAGCATTTTATAATTAAATCATTAAATAATTAACATTTTGTTGTGCTATGTGTTTTTTTTTACATCCATATCTATGTAATAAAGATGAAATATTTGATTTTTATTGCTATTCTAGTAAACAAAATAAGATATTTTTTCAAAGTGACTGATAGGGGGTAGAACAAAGCAAATGGGGCACCTTAGAGTATTTCAGTCGCGACTATCGCGAGCTACGCGAGTTCTCATAAAGCTTAAGGCACATACAAAAACATAAGGCAATAAGCAAATTGGCTAATCACAGTAGAGACCATAAGACCAGTAGCAAATCCAATGTTATTATTTCCTTACTGCTTACGTCTTACTGTCTTACGTTTTTGTATGAACCATGTGCTTAAGGAAATCACAACATGAGATTTGCTATTGGCCTTACGGTCTCTACTGTGATTGGTCAATTTGCTTACTGCTTACGTGTTATTGCTTGTTTACAATACATGTATACAGTAGAAATTAAATTATGTGATATGATTTTTTTAAATATAGATAATAATAAGGGCTATGAGCCAATGGTTTTTTTAATTTTCCGGATTGTCTGACATATGGTGCTTTCCAGCAAGAGACATAGATGACACAGTATAACACAGTGAATCATTACGTCCTTGTTGTTTGTTAATGTTAAACGAAAATAATATGATCACTGTATCACACTGCGTCGCTTGCTAGAAAGCACCACTCATTATCGAATTCTTACGTGAAGTTAGCTTCATTTTTTTGAAAATTATAATTTTGACATCGATTCTAGATTGTTCTCAATTTGTTCTACATCCCAATAAACACATGTTACATGTAACATGAAATGCCAGTTCAACAAGGTAATTGTAATATAATACAACGGGATTGTTCTAAAGCGTTATTATTTTATTCCAAACGATTCTTCAATAAAACAAAAAAAAACGATTTTTTTGCTAGCCTCCCCTTTTATAACTCACCTTTATTTATTCAAATACAATTCATTATCGTTAAGATTGTTCTAGTTGTTCCAAATATTGTTCGAAAAAAACAATTCCGTAAATCAAACATAAGAAATCACGGCAAACAAAAAAAAGTTTTTCGAACGGACTCTTGGATTAAAAGTAAACGTACCATCTCTTTCTTGTTCCAATACAGAATTTTATATTTTTAGTTGTTCTAATGGAAGACAGTTCTGCAGTATGAATCTCGTATCGCTATCAGTTCTACCAAAAATCGAAAAAAAAAATGAATATTTTGTATTTTTGAATTTTTCAAAAAATTAGTAGTGATGCGAGATTTATAATGCAGAACTATAATATATTTCGTAGGACTAGAACAACTCGGATAAAAAATTTTTTCATTGAAACATGAAAAGAAGCGTACATTTATTTTTGATGAATTTTTGGAAAAATCGGTAGCAATACGAGATTTATATTGCAGAATTTTCGTAGGGTTAGAACAACTAAAAATATATAGTTCGGCATTGGAACAAGAAGGAGATAGTATATTTACTTTTGATGCGAGAATCCATTTGTCGAAAAATTTTTTTTTTGTTTTCCACGAATTCTGTTTTGACTGAATCGTCCTTTTGGAACAATGTTTGGAACAATTAGAATAATCTATACCGATAATGAATTGTTTGAGTATTATGAAAGGAATGTGCTGGATAAGAAATTGTTTTTTCGTTTTCTACAATTTCCGTTCAACATACGAAATTGTCCTTTGGAACAATGTTTAGAGCAACTTGAATTTAGAACACTCTGTAGCAAGAAAAAATGATTTAATTTTTCAGAAAAGGGCTAGTAAAAAAATTGTTTTTTTTTTGTTTTATTGAAGAATCGTTTGGAATAAGATAATATCGCTTTGGAACAATGTAGAAGAAATTGAGAATAATCTGGAACAGTTGTTAAAATTGTAATTTTCGAAGAAAGGAGGACTATACACTATAAAGGAGAACTTTATACACTCGAGTTCTTGTGATAATAGCGTTAGGCGCATATTATTACTGATTGAGATGCGAAATCTTGAGAAATCGCTTTATAAGAGTTTTTTTTTATAAAAGAGAGTTGTAAGAATTAAGAAAGATAGTCTATTTGAAACTTAAATTTTAATAATTTAAAAGCAGAGTTTATCATATTTTTAATTTATTTTGATTAATCATTAAAAGTGCTTAACTTTTATTTTTCGATTTTTATTATATTTTCAAAAAGGAGGCTTTTCCCCTAACAAAAGGTCACATTCACATCGCTATAGAGTTACAATAAGGGGGTCGATTCGGATAAGTAAAATGTAGTGAAAGTGAGCAGTCCGCGTGATTCCGTAATTTTTATCATGATGAAAAGGTGAGTCATCTCACGGATATTCGTTCGAAATTTTCAAGAAATTTTTTGTCGAAAAATGAGATCCGAAAAAGAAAGACTGAGAAATAGAGCGAGAGAGGAACCACAGCCGACTGAATTGACAGTTTTAAGATTAAATATATAATTTTGCACAGTCCAAAGACAAAAATAAATCAAATAGCAATATACATGGTAGCAATTTTGTTACTGGAAGAAGAGAATGAAGAGTTCTTTGAACCATGTATGAGAATTACATGAAGAATGCTTAGAGATATTAATTTTCAACAGGATTGATTTCGTAAATAATGGCAGAAAATCGTCGCCCAGTTCTATAACTCACGGTTTACTTTTAATCAATGTTCGACACTTATTCGTCATCAAATTTCAATTTTAAAATTAGGAATAAATTGAACTTTATGGTCCACGCTGATAACGCTCATATGAGCGTTCATATTTGTCTTCGTTTAATATTTGACAAACAACAAGGATGAAATGATTTTTAAGCGTTGTGAGCGTGAATCGGACCGTGGCCTATATTTCACTTCACATTTTCATGTTTTTCGCCATACCGGCAAATCTAGTGATTTCGTATTTTCACTTCGTCGTTACAGAATCACGCGGACAAACTCACATGAGATGAAAGTACGAAAAATGAGTGACTATTATGAATGATCCTACAGAACTCACGTGAGATGAAAGTACGAAAAATGAGTGACTGCTATGAATGATCCTACAGAACCGCCCAGGAAAAAAAAATGATGTCACTGTGAGATTGTCATAATAAAATAACACATATTACAGAGACATTCACACATCGTCATGACATCACATTTGTGATTTTTGTTATAAAATGAACATTCGCACGTCATAATGTAACCATGATTGCTGTGATGTAATTATGACATTTTTTGCTATAGGGGTTATTTGTATGAATAAATTAATACATAAGGAATTAATCTTTTATTTTTTCAATCCGTTCAAAACTGGCTCAGAGTAATTCAAAACTGCCTCCCCCTTTTTCCCCGAGGGATACTTTTGAACAAAAAGAGTGCTTTTTTAAAATATAAATAAAACATATATGTCGTTATGATATTTGTTTCGATATTTATTATTGTACATCAATTTCTATAGTAACTACTAGCCCAACAGAAATACAAATAATTTCATAGTAATTTATGAGCCTGAGAAGAAAAAATATTCAAAGCTACCCCTCTCTCCCCTGTTATTTATGTACCAATAACTGCGGAGGCTTGTATAGGCATTTTATTTTTATACATCTGATTTTATTTTTATTTTAATAATTCTTGATGTTAATCTTTTTTTGATAAGTATAATACTTCCCAATTATTTACGAATTATCTTATCATAGAATTATCTATATCTTATCATCTTATAAATATGCTATTTATAACGCTTCAAGAACCGTGGAGACTTTTATTGGCATTTATAAGAATTTTGTTGGTATTTAATTCAGGAATTATGTAGGAATAATTTAAAAGTTAACAGACAGATAAAGTTAAAAATTGTGAAGTTAGCAAATGCTCATTCACAGATTACTTACAGAATTATAGTGTTATGATGTAAACATAATTTTCTTATCTTTTTCTCCACCAATAAATTTACAGAATAATTTTCCTTTTGGAATTCATGGCCTTCATTTTGTGAAGTATTATAGTGAAATATTGCTGCGAGCTTTATTGCGATGTAACGATACTGTGCTGTTAACAGTAATACAAGATTTATCATATAGACATTCAAAGCAACCTTTTTTAGGAATATATAAGCACTAGCAACAGTTTCGATAAGATTGCCCAGCACAAAAACTTTTGTTGAAAACGGTTGTTTTGAGAAGGCTGCCATCATTCCAAAATCTTCGTAGAAAAACGACTTCTTCTTAAAAATTAATATAAGCGGCATACTACACCATACTATTACAGATCCAGTTCCAGCTATGCAATAAAATTCAAGTGGAATCTCTAATGGTTTCAGAGTTGAATGTACAATGTTTTTCATAGTCTCATCTCCAGAGTGCATGACGCTATTCAGCTTTTGGATTAATTGACTTGCTAGGTCTTTGCTTGCGTACATACGCGTAAGCAAAATGAACACTTCGATGCTCAATACGATACTAACTGTTCCAGCATTCTGCAAAGTCTCACGATTTGCCACTAATACAAACCCGCAGATCGTTGCACAGGTTTGGAACAATTCAATTATCCATATGATAATAGTGTATATTCTCCATGTTATATGAAACGATGAACCATCGCTAGTTATAGGTAATAAATTGCCTGAGATGATATTCAAACGAACATTTAAGGGATTTACATTTTGGAAGTCCATCTTCTTAATGTTGTTTACTCGCAATAAATAAAAATTATTTTAACATACGTAGTGCCTGATAGAAGAATATGGCTTAGGTCTACATTAACTTTTGTTTTATGTTGTATTACTGCAAATAATTCTCCCTTTGCAGAGGTATGTGACTATCCTGTTCGTTTTATAATTGTTGACCATCTCGACTATTTTCAAGAATTCCCTTTGAAATTTTAAGTCTTTCTACTATCATTAATATATTGTACACAATCATATGACAAGCAATGACGGTCTGTGTTTATTTCGTTATAATTATTTCAACGTTTATCCTATCATTAATCGTTGTACAAGTGTAGTATAAATGAATAGTCGTAGTGAAATTTAATGAAAAACTATATTTTTCGCTACATTTACCGCAAAGTAAATATGATCACTAATTTCTTGCAGCTATCCCTGTATTATAAACCAATAATTATCTTATGGCACTATGTCTATTATAGAGCGACGTGAATGCGAGAATCATACTTTTATCTCAATATCAGAACGAATCTAGAAATCAATGTCGATATAGATAACTAATAGTGTAATGACATAATATATTGGCCAAAATATCGAAAATTGTGGATTATCAGATGACATTGCTAATAAATTGTCCGAAAGTATACTTTGATTTAAAGGTGAATTTACTCTTTGAAAGTTAATGCTTTTCGTGTTACTCTTTTCCAGTAAATCAAAATTACTTTAGAAATCGCAATTTGTAGAAAATGTAACAATACAAAATAATAAAATATCGCAGAAGAAAAGATAAATTTCAGGTACGTAGTCGATAATAGAAATCTACATTATTAATTTTTCTATTAATATTTTTTCATTAATTTAAAAATAATGATTGAATTACTGTAGACATCTTTTGTTTATCACTTTTAATTTTATTTTTAAAAACAGAAGAGTGATCGAATACGATTAATTTAAATTTTAAAAAGAAATTTAAGGAACGTTAAATTTAAGATGTGATAATGTTACTATTGTGCGAAAAAAAAGGAATGTACAAAATTTTACCATCATAAATGAGCAAGGAGAAATTGAAATTTTTTAATTTTGCATTTTAAATTATTAACCATAATTATTAAAATAAATATGTGTTTTGTCGATAGTTAAAGTAAATATCAATTTTCGTGAAAATCATATTTATTTATTATTTCCGTACTTTACATTTCCGAAAATAAAGTAATATGTAACAAAAATACAATATTACTGTTATTACATGCAACGTAGGACACAATTCACAATTTATAAAACTATAAGACAAGCTTAATTTCCTATCCAATCAGAATGTTGTCTACAAGATCTCATGTGATGATTGTGAGGCGAGTTATGTTGGTCAGATAAAAAGAAAATTGAGCACGAGACTACACGAACATATCTCTGACAAAAGCATACAGGTTCTCTTATTGTCATAACTGATCATCGAATCAATTTTGATCATAATTTCAAATGGAATAATGTGAGAATTTTGGACTGCGAATCTTCTTACAATAAGAGATTGATGTCTGAAATGATTCATATTATAAGATAGAAACAAGGCCTTAATAGGCAAAATAATACCGAATCTTTACCTGATACTTATTTACAGATCATTCAATCTCTTTCTCCTTCTTGACTGCTTTCCCTTTCCTATCCTTCTCTTCTCTCCCTACTTTCTCTTCCTTCCACTTTATTCTTTCCTTCTTATTTATTTTTTTTTCCCTTCCCTTTTTAGTTTTCTATTTCAACCTTCTTGTCTTTATATGTCGTACTTTATAGCTTAGCTTTCTAGAGAGATGATCAATTTCGATTCCTATTGCATTGCCTAATCGATAATACATCATTTCGACACAATTAAGGTACTTATTATAAATTTATTTGTTCTAAACTCATCATACATATACAATGAATATCGGCATTTTACTCTTTTTCTCATCATTATTATTTCTTATGTGCTTGTCTTATAATATCAAAGATAATTTTTGCCTCTTTCTTTTAATTTTGACTTATTATTTACTACTTGTTTTGTACCTTTCTTTTTATTGTTTGCGACTCGATTTGTACTTTTCTTATTATTTTTATTTACTTCCGTCGTTAATTTATTATTATAATTTATACTTGCTAACAGAACATGTTAGTCCTTATACACACACGGTTCGGAGGAGCACATTTGTGTCAACTATAATCGTTTGTTTGATTTCCTCTCAATTTGGAGCGAGTTTTATAGTTAATTTTGCGTCTGAATGCGAATTTTACTTAATTTCTTATCTACGTTATCTGTTTTTATCTACGTTACAACTCTATTGTTAATTTGTTTGTCACATTAATTTATTTGTCACATTGAAAATGATCCAACAAGGATCGAAACGTTTGTTTTGTTCACCTTCCGATTGTCAAATTATAATTTACGTTTTTAATTTTATTGTCATAGTTTTATTTTATTTTTTAACTATTTATACTGTGCGAGAGCGAATCAGAGTGAGAGCGCTGACGTGAAATTTTTAAAGTGATGCGGTGTTTGTCTAACAATATTTCTTGCGAATCACATCCGGCTCGAAGGACCAGAAAATGTGCGGGAATGCACCGCGCGGAAAGATTCGAGTAAGAGAACGGCACAAGGTTGATATGATACGCGACAGTAAAGAGAACTCCGTTTCTTTGTAATTCAACAAAAGAATTTTCTTTAATATGCACAGTTACAAAGTCAGAAAATATAATTAATTAAATATTAGATTAACAGAATATTGAATGCGGTCACCTTTTCCAAATTGTATGTGGAATCGCGGTGATGGAAAATCTCGGCGATGTTCGCGGCACTTCTCGAAAAGATTCGTTTTATAGCGGTTTTCACTAAGCGGTTAGCACGGCGGTTTTACGAAGCGATATAGTAGTGAGACTATGACTCTGAGAACTCTGAGAACTTTTTTGACTCTAAAACGGAGGACGGCGAGATCGAAGCATTTATTGCTTTCGGCCTGGGCTTTCTTCTTGGGAAAAATCCAATAAAATTTTGCCACAATCGTAATTATTACGTGGCATTAGTTGTACAAAATTGATTGGCGCTTTGGATTCTTTTCTAACGACGTTCAACGTAACAGTCATGCGCGATAGAAAATCCGTACGTGGGATTGGTGACAGCGCGTGACGTATTCGTCGGAGCGCGGCGCTCGCGTGCGCGAATTGAATTGTTCTAGAACTTTCGAGTGTTCGTTACCGGTGCTTGTTTGCGTATACCGAATTGTTTTAAAAGAACAAAGAACGCCAAATCGCTGATTTTTAACGAGGATTAAGATCATGCTCGAGATGAAATCACTAGCTCACTTTATGGGTGCGTTCAATGACAATTACTGTCGGTCGACTGAAAGAATTCGTGCTTTTCTTTCGAATTACCGATCTCAAACAATACAGTTTATCAATTTATGTTTTAGGCTAGTAGCCTTTTTTCCTTTTTACTTATTTTGATTTATTGAGCCTTATTACTTTTATAATTTATAAAACTATAATATCTAAAACTGTAATTCTGAAAATTTTTGTTATTGTTATATTCGCTAAAATAAGAGAAGTAATTTATAATTATGAAGACTACCAAAAGTATTTCTTATATCATATTGTTGTTGATAATTTTATTTTTTATTTATAAAGTATAAAATTATATAATAATATGATATATATTGTTATTTTTCAGGTCACAGTAGTATTCAATATAAAGTCATAAATTGACAAGAAATAAATATAAACGAAATTATAAGTAAATTTATCAAATAGACAAATATCATGTATGTCGATAAAAAGAATTTTCAGTTTCAATTCTTGAGTGAGATATCAATTAAATTATTTGGATATTATGTGTATTGAGAACAATTTTTTGTTGAAAATGAACGAATCAGATTCTGACCAATTAAAATTCTAGTTATGTATCTAAACTAAAATTATAGTAGAATCAATCAGAAAATTTTGTTTTGTTTAATCAGAATTTCAATTAATGCAACTAGATTCCTTCTCCAGTATAACGACTAACAATAAGAAAGTAAAACACGAATTTTTGATTAAGACACTTAAAAACATATCAGCAGAGTGTCAAGTATTCGATTTCTGTTATCAAAACACAAAGAGAGCTAATTAAAAATAAGCTAATTAAAAATCTTAGAAAAAATAAGTATTTTTTAATATTTTCAATAATATATAATAACAAATTAAAAAATGTAGTGCATGCAAAATGTATTCATATTGTTATTTATATTAAAATAAATCGCTTATGCTCTTCTTTTTATACTTGTTAAATTTATATTAAAATTTTCATAAATAGAAAGTGTACTAAAACAAGTAAAAGAAAATGTTAAAAGAATACTAAAATCCAAAAGAATCAACTTTTGTTACATAGATTGTTATAATAATGTTTAAAAACGAAGGCAATAAAACATGAAATAATACGTTCAAAAAACTCAATAATAATAATTTTAAATGTTAAATATTTAATAGCTTCATATGTTGATTTTAATATTTTGAGATAAATTATAATTTTTTCATGGTTTTCATTTCTGAATCATCTATCATTTTGCATATCAAAAATTACAAAAAGGTATCACTTTTATTTTTTACTCTGAAGATAAAAACTGCGACATTTTTTTTAACAACTTCCTTTTGTAGTGATCTAGAAATTTTTCAGTTCTTTATGAATTAAAAACAAAGTAATAAGTTACAATATTTACAGCGTCCAACAATTATTTTATAAGGAGCAAAAAATATAAAGCTGCACCATTGTATTCGATGTGTACAATTTTATCGACTGTGTACAATTCTATAGGCTGTGTACAATATCTTATTCAGTTTTTGAATTAATTGATGCATCAGATCTTTAATTCACAGAATCATAAAGAACATTTATACTAAGGGAATCTTAAAGACGATTCGGGAGGGTCCCCAGATGCACACAAAAATAATCGGACATAATCTCAATCGGACACAGATTGAACGGACACACGATAGATCCAATCGAACACAGT